GTATTTACCAAAACCAATTCCCCACACACTTCTATTTAATGTTTCAAAACAATACTCATCTATCATTACACGACTTAAGATCAACCATGGATGTTTCCCGGCCCATTCGCATAAGATAGGAATAATAGAGTCGCCTATTTGTCAACATGATAAAGAAATTGCAGATTTGAATCACCTGTTTTTTAAATGTAAAATAAATACAGAACCTGCTAACTTCATGGTCAAACTAAATAAGTTTAAGTTTTAATGGCAACAGAGAATAAAGAAATTTACAACGTAATAGTAGAATTTATCTCAATAATAAAATGTCCAATTAATTAGGTTAATTATTCAATTAAAAAAACAGTTCGTCAGTATCTACTAAACAGAAATTAAAAAAGAAAATAACATCACAAACAGAAGAGAAAATAATACTGAACTATTTTGTTATTACCTATTTATATATAGTTATGTTCCATAAAAGAGAAATGTGATAAGTTAAAAAGCAAAATTTGAAAATCAATTTGCAAAATAAAAATGAAAAGTTGTAAAGTACTTTTACGAAATAGGCTCCTGGTTTAACGTAGTTTACAATAATGCGCAAATGTTACTAATTAATATAAGTTAAACTGTAAATAGTTACTAAATAATAAAGGATCTTAAATTGTTTAAATTTTGTTATATTCGAGCACTAGCACTAGGGATAACATACAAAAACACACTATCTAAAGGCGCAGTAAATAGCTCATTATAAACGAATATCATGGTAAATAAATACGCACAGAGTATATTATGAATCAAAAGTAATTTCGAACGTAATGTTATTTGCGGAGGAAAATTACATAAATTTGACATCAATCCATAAGATAAATATGCTTTTTATAACAGTTGTTACACAATATATCACAATTGATTGTAGTATATTTCTTAAAAATATTGTTAATTATATGTTTTAATTGTGGACTAAAAAAAGTATAGTGTGTAACATGTGCAAATATTTTCCAGTCGCTTTCTGGCTCTTGTACCAAACCTCTTCACTCAAAGAAAAATTGTCAGTTGAAGACTTCTCTAATAAGTTAATGCCTGAACCAACTATCTACCGCAAATTTGACTATATCAATTATTTCTTAACTAACGTATACTAACGTATCACGTGGGAACATCTAATACGTCTGACAGGTTATTTTCACTATATTATTAGCAAACGAAACCGAAAACTCATTTTTGGAACCTCCTAACCCAATTGCGGGATAGCGGTAAAAAATTGGTCGATAACTTTTGCTTATTTGAATTTTGCCTTGATTGGGTATTAGAACGTATTCGATTTAAATAATTTAAAAGAGTATGGTAAAAGTGACTGCATTATTAGTAAATCGTGATTGAAAGTAAAATTTGACTTAGAAAATAAATACGAAAAGTGAAATATAAAAATTGGTTCAGTAAAAATGAAATTGAAAAATGTTTGGGGTGACAGCATATTGACTTTTCGATTGTAGATATGTATAACTTAGTAGATTGGGTTGTAGGTCTAGATTTTGGAAACAAAAACTACATTTATAATAAACATGTAGTTTAAAATCAACCTAAATAACTATATCGATACCCATCTGAAATCCTTGACTCCCTGTTACTTTTTACTATTAGATTTTGAAATTTTGTTAATAATTGTTATGTATCATATATCATTCAATAATTTCATGTTAACAAGTATACCAAAAGCTCTTAAAATTTCCTTCCTTTAAAAATATTCATTTTTGATGCATAAAAACCAACTCAAGTGGATTTGGAGTCACATATTGCCTTATATAAAACAATTTCGTTTAAAAATATTGTAAAAAAATCTAGATTATTCCATAAGACGTCATAAACTTGTAAAAACACATACATAGAACGAAAATACAGTATTTAAATATAATGAAAAAGACCTCCAAAAAATTATTTGAAAATAATTAATCACTATCACACTGATATCACTCTGTGAACTTTCAAATTTATCCTCGTACAGTTCAATAGAGGAACAAAAGTATTATTTGGGCTAAACTAGATCGGATACAACAGGTGAACGTCTACATGGGTAGCGTTAAGTACTTATTTATTCAAATTCATCGAAGTTATTTGCCAACAGGTACATTAAATATGCATTGTTCAATATTATGTTGCACATATGTAAATTTTTAATCTTAATAATCTGCTGCATTTTGTATTTAAATGACCTTTATTTTACAATACATTTTTTTATCCAATAAATAATTTCCTATTTAAATGTTAAGCAGAACTAATCTAAAATGAAACCATTAATTCGATCTTAATTAATTGATTTACGTAACGCCGAAATTAAATTGATAAAGACGGTATACCGAATAATCAATATCAATTAATATAAAAATAATAAAAAATAATACAATAATTCATTTTTTGGTAAACTATTAAATAATAACATAATTTTAATAACGTTTTCTAAGAATACAAAATACATTTAAATCAAATAATTTGATACAGATGTCGTAGAGAAAAGGTAATCTTAGGTCCGATACTTTGTGAGATGATTAGTTTAATTTGACAGAAAATCAAATTTTGACACATAATTTCATTACTTTACACATATCATTTAACTAGTTCTGTAGTTAGTGTGTGTTGATTTTTATTATATTTACCGATATTACTTGTACTTTTATCTTAAATGTGTGGTTCTATTTAATTTTGTAAACTAAATTTTAAATGTAATTTATAAAAGTATATATAAACAAAACCCAAACTGAAACAGATATTTCAATGAAATTTCTTCTGTGTGAACTAAATACGATAGAAGGCAAAGTAACAGGTAAAGTAAGACGAAAGAAAAAAAACTGCATAGGGTAGAATTACCAATAGTTTTTTGAGGTATCAGAAAATTACAGGGAAACAAATATGACAACATTGAGTTTATTCAAGTTTCTTTAAAAATTTATTCAAATCATCCGAGATCCAGTGTAACAGTTGAATAGCAAATTATTTTTAGCGTACAACTTTTAAACGGTGCTCTGGTCAACCAGTCCTATGACATTTTTCAAAGTATTTTTAAAAAACCCCAACAAATTATTAAAAGGGCATTAAACAATTTAGAATATCGAAAGCCTCTTCAGAATTCATACCATTTATTAAAATGTTCTACATGATCGTCAACTGTATATGTTCTTTGATTACGAATTATAGCATTGTTCGCGGAAAGAATCCTGAACCGAATTATTATTAATAGTAACGATTTCGCAAGCGCAGTAGTTAAAAAGCGTTCGCGGAACAAAAAGAACTGAACTATTGGTTCTATTCTGTGTACGCGGTAAAATTATTATTGATTTTGAACCGCTTGTCCCTGAAAAATTCAAAATTGATAATGATTCGGACATGCGCTCAAACTTTGAATGACTAATTCTGAATCATCAAAAATGTCATCTATCTCATAAAATCCTTTTTCGTACCAGTTTAATAATATATCTCTTCAACAATTATTAAACCTAAGTCAAAATTCAATAAAATTATTTAAAACAGATTTACTATTGACATAATGACTGACCGACACTGTATATCCCCCAAAAGGTCTGGTATGATCCAACTTAATTATTATTTTTATTGCTTTAAAAACATTTATAAATCAGCAACGACATACCTAATATATTTTATTTATGGAGATAATAGGAATCCCTAACTTCAGACATTATTGAAAATGATGGGTCAGAACGGAAACCCACTAGCGATTAAATTTCAATAATTTCAATAAAAAACATTTTAAATGTTATTTTAAAAACCACAATGTAATGCAGATGTACTTTTATCTTAAATGTGTAGTTCTATTTAATTTTGTAAACTAAATTTTAAATGTAATTTATAAATGTATAAATAAACAAAAATAATTTTTCTACGATTACTGTCCAAAGTAGGCTTTTGCGATTCGAAATCCAACAGTAACGTTGACGTTAGAGACAGCTTTGCTGCTATAATAAAATAATATTTCTATTTAATAAATTAGTTTCAAGTAATTTGTTCGTAGTTACAGGTTTTTTGTTATATTATCCGAGTTAACATGGACTTTGAATATCAAGTGCCTTTTTCATGATTAGTTTATTGTATAGGCAAGACATTATACACTACTTATGACAAATTTTCAGTTTTTATATGTTTCTTAAAAAAATGTGATCGTAGGAAAAATCGTGTGTGCAATTTGAGCAAAATGTTCGTTGGCGCTTTCGACAGATTGCCGCGCGAGTAATACTTTTCGCTCTTAATACACAAATAGCTATTTTAGAATCTCGCCATAAAAATCAAAATTTTATAAATATAAGATTATAATCCCTCCGTGTATATATTATTAGTCCAGGGTAGTTAGAAAAATAGCGGAAATTTTTAGGGATAGCAGATATCGAGATGCGGTTTTCTGCATTGTGTACAGGAAGGTCCCAGGAAAAAAGTTTATATCGTCTGGTTTAGCCATTTTTTGAAAAATGCCTTCTGGGCCGGAAAATACATTTTCCAATTGCATCATTACTTGCACCATTATAGGAACGACTGGAAACTCGGAAAAATCGCTCTGAAATTATTACTTGGGGGGTTTTCGGGGCTGCCGCACTCGATTCTGGCATTATAATTACTCTAGCATGGCTCTGTGGGGGAGAAATGGCAACGTGCATAAAAATCGCTCCAAACTCGTTACTAGGTGGTTTTCGGGGATGCAGAATTCAATTCTAGCATTAGATTTCCCCGGAGGCACTCGTGGGTGGCTTTCTGGGGTTGTCTGGGAGTGATTGGGGGGGAAATAGCAGTATCCATGAAAATCATTCCAAAATCATTACTCGGCAGTTTTCGGGGATGCCGAATTCAATTCCGGTATTAGACTTCCCCGGGGCACTCGGGGGGTGGCTCTGTGGGAAATGGTAAAGGAGAAAGTGAAAAATCACAAATTATGAAAATAATACTTTCTTCAAATAACAAATATGAGTTTTTATTAATGTTGAATTATTCATTATAAACTTAAATTAATAACTTAAATACTAAATATATTGTTCAAACTCTTCTTCTTTCCCTTCTTCATCTTCTTCCTCGTCACTATTTTTGGCCCCGTTGGAAGTGCCACAGTCGGTTTCACACGAACAAGAAATTTTGCTTAAAATTTCCTCTGGACCGGCTTCCTGGGTCCTGGTGACAGGATTGAGCCCTCCATCTACCAATTCCCGCCCCCATTCCAACAGATCTAAGGTCTCGTCCTGACCTTGTGAACCATACCAAGCCTGTACTTGGAAATAGACACGTTTAATATGCTCAATTAACGCATTAGCAGTCGGGATTATGCATACAAGATCGACTTTTTTAGAATTGGTGGCTTTAGCATACATTTTTGCTCGATAGCGTTGGACGAGCTCAATCGCAACCCCACAGAGCCACCCCCTAGCGCCCCCGGGTAAATCCAATGCTAGAATTAAATTCAACATCCCCAAAAACTCCCGAGTAAAGAGTTTGGAGCGCTTCCCATGGACTATGCAATTTCACCCCCAGAATGACAAACTGGATACCCCCGCAGAGCCGCCCCCGAGCGCCCAAGAGTGCCTTCGGGTAATTCCAATGCCAGAATTAAATTTGGCATCCCTGAAAATCCCCCGAGTAACGAGTTTGGAGCGATTTTTTTGCACGCTGCCATTTCTCCCCAATTCACCCCCCGCGCACCCCCCCAGAGCCACCTCGGGTAATTCTAATACCAAAATCGAGTTCGGCAGCCCCGAAAACCCCAAAGTAACGATTTCAGAGTGATTTTTCCGAGTTTTCAGTCGTTCCTATAATGATGCAATTGGAAAATGCATTTTCCGGCCCAGCAGGTATTTTTCAAAAAATGGCTAAACCAGACTATATAGACCTTTTTTCCTGGGACCTTCCTCTGAACACAATGCAGAAAGCCGCATCTCGATATCTGCTGTCCCTAAAAATGTCCGGTATTCCGGTCGATTTTGATCTAAATGCCCTGGACTATATGTACATGTATATTTTATTGTGTAAATTTTAATACAATTGATCCAAAAATGAAAAGGTTTTAGTTTGTTTAAACATTGAAGAACTAGAAACCTGTTTTTTTTTTGGTTTTTTTTCTCGATCTAAAAAAGTACCTACATGGTATTAAATCTTGTACGATGGTACAAAACTCTTCATGCGCAAGTCCGACTCGCACTTGGCCGGTTTTTATTTGTTGTATTATATATGAGACAATTTTTATAAGTAATGCAGAGAGAGTAACGTTAACAATTATTAAATACAAAAACGTATTAAATACAAAACTTGATACCTATGACTAAAATATTCTACAAATTCTTGAAACGAAAAAACTTTGCTCGTATTATAATCATATTTCTCTTTATCTCTTTTTAAACAACTAAATTCCGCTTCATTCCTACTTTAATATCGAAATAATTGTACTAATTCTGACAGGAATGAAAGATTCAAAAGACATATTACGAGGGTCATTCAATAAGTAAAGAGACAAATGGCTATAGCTAAAACCGGTTTATTTCAATCTTTCAAAATTAAGGCTATTTTTCAACATAATCACCCCCCACAGTTATGCACTTGTCCCATCTTTCTTGCAGCTTCCTAATTCCCTTGGCGAAGAATTCTTTCGATTTACCCCGAAGCCACTTTTGAACCGCTTCCTTAACTTCCTCATTGTTAGCAATTTTTTTCTACATAAGGCGTCTTTGAGTGGTCCAAATAGGTAAAAATCAGATGGGGCGAGGTCGGGACTGTAGGTAGGATGAGGAAAGACCTCCCAACCCAATTCTTGAAGCTTATCGCAGGTCAGCTGGGCTATATGAGGGCGGGCGTTATCGTGCTGAAGAATGACTCCTTTTGACAAGAGTCCACGGTCTAACTTTGTGTTCTAGCATCTCAGAGTAGTAAAGGCTATTGATAGTTCGTTGATGTTCAAAGAAATCGCAATAGACTTGACCCCGTGAGTCCCAAAAGATGGTCAGCATCACTTCACCTACACCTGTGCGGCCACTTTAAAACCGATCAAACCACTTGTAAAAATTAACACGGTTCATACAACTTTTACCGTACTGTATCGACATTCTAGAAAAAATTTAACTTGGTTTTAAACCTTTTGCGACTAAAAACCTAATGACTGAGCGCTGCTCTTCTAAGGTGCAATCTTCTAGTGGACTTGCCATGGTGAATTGAAAATTTTGAGGTTATGTTGACATAAAATGATAAAACAGCTGATCAGAGCGTATCCCAAGGTTGCCAACTAACACCTCTAAAAAGATTTAATAGTTTTAAAATTATAGAATTTGTCTCTTTACTTATTGAATGACCCTCGTATTATTTTTAAAATATTTGTGTTATTAGAAATTTCTTAATATTAGGTATTTAATTTTTGTAAGAAAACTTTATTTTTTTCTTGCAAACTTAGAATGCTACGAAACAATTGCATTGATTGACATTTTCCAAGTATATATATATTTGGGGACAAAATATTATTCCTATTGGTTTCAATAATTACAAAAAGGATACAAAAGTTTGCTTCCACTCGAGAATTTGTTCCATGTGTCAATTAAAAAAAGATCCACGAGCAATAGATAATATATGCAAGTTAGTTGGGTGGCTCAGTGTTCTGCGCTTGCGAATCAAAGGGACTGCGCTTCTAATCCCTCTGTTGGATTTTTAATTATTTAAAAATAATTCTGATGCCTAGGTAGGATTCCCTACTCCAACCACTGTTGGGTTATAACTAATAGTGCTGTTTCTGAAGTGGCGCTGGAAAACAGTAACAAAGCCTACACAGACCACACATGAATAAAAATCAAACACAAACTTAGACTGGCATATTAGGTCCATACATTTTAGTCATAAAATGAAAAAAAAAATATATGCAAATATTGATTCTGCATTCCGTACTTTTGAACCTTTTTAACAGGTTACCCTGTAGAACTGCAAACTTGGAGTCCATAAGAAAATGCCTTTATTGACCTTAAAAATAATATCCTTAAAATTTAAAAATTTCTGCTCCTACTCAAAATCAATATAAAAATTTCAGAGTCCTTTAAGAGAACAAAACAAAATAATAATATATAACAAAAAGTAACAAAATACCTGTCTAAAGTCCACAATAATTTCCGTTACAGATTGTTGTTAAAATCAAGATTATTTAATGATATATGATATTAATCATGCATAACATTATCATATATGAATTTCTAAAATTTATTTTTATTAGAAGCTACCCAGTATTGCCCTAAATATATGTCGGTCACTTTTTAAATTAACATATTCCGTTTTACAACTGCAGGAAAATATTTCATTCAAAATTTGGCCACAATTCACAGACAAAGGCTACTAAATCACAAGCATAATAATTCTAGACACATATTTGGCACAGTACGCATATCTACATATATGGGAGTAACGTGATATATATAAGAGCACCAGTTACCCAGTTTGAAGAATTATGACTTTCGTCTTTTTTATATAAAAAGCATTGTTATTGTATTACTTCATGAGTTTCTCACAACACAATAATAAATCGGATACGTAGCTTAAAGATCTATGACCTAGAATATAGACAATTTAGAACAAAATTCCGACGATCAAAAAATCTGCTTCTAAACATTATTTGCGACTTTGCTAATACATAGGCACAGATAATAAAAAAACGCAAGTAATTATACAGCAAATTTTGATTTCACGTTTCGGGTCGAATGTTTTTTTTAGTAATAACCGCAACTGTTTTTGTGCCGGTCCATCAGTCATTAGAAATTGAATATTAGTTTTATGTACTTTTAAAGGTGTTAAAGATATAACGATAACCCGAAGCCATTCTAAAATAATACGTTGACCTTGATCGATACGGTTGATGTTTTGAAATGATGAATGAAAGTAGTAATTTTTATCGATATTAACTTATTTCGGATAAGCGTTTATAATGAATTCATTATTCATACATAGAAATAATATCGTTAGAATTAGTACATTAGTTTAATCATATTATATTCTTCGAATTTACTGTTCCATCCTTTACCATGATTGCCTACGTATTCTTGTTTTTTAAATCTTATAGTGCTATATAAATTAGTTTTCAGGAAATATTATTTGAATAAAATCATGTAAATCATGAAATGTTAACATTAAATAATTATCTAGAAGAGAGCTCTCATTTTAAAAAGTAATTAAAATTTTTGATTGAAAATGTAATAAAATAATTTTAAATAAAATTAAAAATAATGGCATATTCAATAAAAACTGGCAGCTCAAATACTTCAAAAATTATTACATTAAATGCCAGTTACTAAGCCATATTATTACTTTAATTATTAAGCCATTTATGATTCTTCTATATTGCAATAAAACTTTTAGAAAACTAAAAGTTTGACATGTGGTTCATTTTAAAGTTTTTCTACGCAAAATTTTTAATTAAAAAAAATTTTTTTTTATATATCGTTGCTATTTTGGTATATACATTTTTAAAAGAATAATTTTATTAGTCGAGTTTTTTCGGATCTTCTATAAAAGCAAATTGCTAACTGTAATCCATCTGGAAATAAAATATTATAGTTAGACTTTTTGATTTTTTTACCACAGATTTTGCTTGGAAAAAAGTATATCTAAAATAAATCATTTAAAATATTAAATTATTTATTCATACAAATGCGCTTTAGACAATTCAAATTCCAACAGTTTCTGAGACATCTGACTTGACACCCCCCTTTTTTTGTATTTTAAAATATTCCAAAGTGTATAGTTTATCATGTCTAACTGAATAGTTTCGAGAGATATATATATATTTTTTTTTTGAGGGAAATTGTATTTTTTTTATGTTAAACTATTTTTAGCATAATTTCACTTACTACACTTGTTTTATTTATAAGATGTCATCCATACCTGAAACAAAACAATAAAATTAGTGTTTATAATTATTGGTTAACAGTTTAATACTATGATATACTGAAGGGAAAAGTTTCAAAATTGGATAAGATAACTTTATCTAAAAACAAGAATGAAACTTTCTAAAAAATAAATTTAGTACCCAATTCCACAAATTCGCTTTTTTTCTTGCTTGTTCGTATTTCTTTATTCAGTGTCAAAATAATATTATCGACATAAATTCCGTAAATGTCACTGTCATCGTTTCATACAGGGAAAGAAAACTTAAGATAACAAGTCAGCTAAAGTGACTTCATTTTTTTCGTGCCACATCATGGTCGTATCAAGAACAAAAATAGTAAATAATCCAATAATATTAATATTGGATACGTTATTAATATATAATAAAAAAATAGCGGTCCCACAATAGAACCTTGAGGTACACTACTATTAACGAGACGACAATGTAAGGATTCGTTCTTGGCCACTA